GGCACCGAGCGTAATCGTCTCCCCATATTGCTTTGCCTTGTCCATTGTCCCCTTGTGCCATCGTGATCATTGTTATAAATAATGCTATATTCATTTTGCTTACTTTACAACTAATTAATAACGATTTTCGCTTTTCAGGTATCTTTGATATATGTTAAAGTTTCGGGTTTGTGTGAATAATTAAGTTGAATATTTGATTTGTGGGCAAAAATGATACCAATAAGATAATAAGGGCTTACTCAAATTCTTGACCAGTCCTCGATTTTTTTCTCGGTTGATTCTTATAAGTCATTTACCAAAAACTTATCCGATAAGTGTTTGCCGGTAAAATTCAACATTATTATTTACTTATCAGATAAGATTTTACTCCATTAAAACAACACCGTATGCAATAATTTAACTGATAAGCTCTTCTTGTGGTAAGAGTTGTCGCCTTCACTTATCGGGTATGACTCTTGTTCCTTGTCTCGCTCTTACCGGGTAAGATTTTTGGTGTTTGTCATATTCATCCGGTAAGGTAATCTGACTTGATAAAGGCTTACCCGGGTAAATGTTTGGGAAACGGCCCCTTAATCTCTACATCTAGTCATAATTTAATTGAACCTAGATTTGAGTAAAAATGGTGTTGAATATGTTGACAAGATCACACCATGATCTACTTAGGGGCCGTTTACCAAATGCTTACTCGGGTAAACGCTTACCAAGTCACATTACCTCACCTGATGAATATGACAAGGACTAAGAATTTTACTCGGTAAGAACAAAGGCAAGGACCAAGAGTCTTACCCAGTAAGTGATGACAACAACTCTTACCACAATTAGTACTTACTGGGTAAGTCGTTACATATGATGTCGTTTTGGTAGATTATAATCTTACCACGTAAGTAAGCAATAACGTTGAATTTTACCGTTTAACACTTACGTGTAAGTGTTTAGGTAAACGGCCCCTTACCTAGTACCACCGTTATTAGAATTATTCAACCTAGTGTTGTTGCAACACCCGTTAAGACCTATTCTCTTCTCATCAACACCGTCCATGGCGGTTGTCTACCCACAATGGCTGTCGGCACCCTCGAAAACATATCGACCGACTCTACTGCATTAAAAATGACAATCAAGATTTGTACATAATAAATTCGTCTATAATCGTTGCTTGAACGTAATAGATCTCAAAGTTTTAGAACCTTTCTTTGACAGTCATTTCCCTTGTGGGTTTCTCATTAGTCTATGCTTCTTTCCATTCCCAGTCGCATCATCATAGTTGATTGAAATAACGTACTCACTCCTAATTTATATGAATCAAACCACGTAATATATATCACCAGTATGATTTCCAAATTGCCATCTCCTTTGTTCTTACATATATAGACGAAGGATGGTGTGAAAATAGAAGTTAAAGTGATAAATATAAGAAGTAATTTGGATCCTTGACCATTTTTAATTTCACCCCAAATGAATTGTTTTTTACTCGAGAATTGATTTGGTGCATCTCATTAGTGTTGATTCAAATTATGATTAATCTAAAGATGAATATCTCTTTTTCACCATAACTTCCATTCTCACGGAAATCCGACCATATACATATACATGGGGAAATGTGCTATCCTTGGCTCTAAGAAATAGGTTTATCGAGTAAGACATATGTTCGTTGCATTACCCTTATATTAATTTAAAAATTAGAATTACAGGGGGAGCATGTGCCCTCTTTGGTTACAATGTGGCTCCACCGTTGCCGCCTACCTTGTACAATCGTATCCCCCCGGTTCAATCCATCTACGTATCAAAACACCCTTAAGAATAAGGTGTTATATGCATCCCTTTTAACGTCAAAATCATTTTGAAACATATCTTGAAATTTTAAAATATAAAAAATGAGTTTTGATGTTGACGTGTGAAAAAAAAATTACTAGGTATGAAATAATTTAGCAATTTATATGAGTGTAAGTAACCCACTCGTAAGAATACTGTAGCCTTATACTAATATAAGTTGTAGTATTTTTCCACTATCCTTTTTTTGAACTTTTTAAATGATTTACAATACTTTGTTATGGTTACAGAGTATGAGTTTGGTTTCAAATAGAATGAAAGTTATGATGAGAAGGATAAGAGAGGTCTCTGCCATTTAATCAATACTAATTAAAGAGAACCGATAGCTTAACACTAACGAGATACACTCAAGCATTTATCTTCTAAAACGCAAGTAATGAGTTGTTTTGAGATTAAAAGTTATAATTATCCAAACATTTTCTTACACTTCTCATCTTAACTTCTATTCTCACACAATCTTTCGTCCTGACAATATATGGTAATTTTTGTGCCATACATACATACATACATACATACATACATACATACATATATGTATGTATATATGGGATCAAAACCAAGATGCCCAAAATTATCTTGAGCATGACCGACTTGAGTTCATTATGCTAGCGAAATAAAACATCAAAATGGTGGTATTGATAAAATGTTTGAAATAAGGTTTTAAAAACCAAAAACAAAATCTATCAATTTTTGTTATATTTTTTTTATTGATTGAATCCACTGATTTTGTTAGATAAAATGTTTTTTTGGAAAAATAAAACTAGAAGTTAAAGTGTTGTAAATGTATCGATCATATTGGTTCTGAAGATAACAACCAAGAAAATAACAACGATTCACGATAAACTCTTTCAACATATACGGAGGATCTTCGAGACCTAGCCAATATTTTTTTATCAGTTTAGTTGGCCCTCAAGGTTATTATGAACACCCAGAATAATCTACAAATTGCAATAAAATGGAACAAACTATTATTTTATTGCTATTTTGGGGAATCCTGATGAATCAACGCGTTCATTTTGGGAGAATATGGTTCTAAACTTATCATATTGGGGGACGGACGTTCAAAAATTTATCATTTTTGGGAACAAAAAAGAAACCAACCTTGATTTTATTTATATTTTGAGAACCTGAATTTAGTCATTGGACAACTAAATAAGGAGTTTCGGATCACGGTTGATCAAAACGAATGTTTTAACGAACGTTTCAAAACGATATAAATAAAAACGACACTGATTATATTTTGATGCATCTTTCGTCAATATCATCGTAAACGAGAAGACAATATACATCACATCACTTTCATGATTTTTCAATTATATATTCGAACAAAAACATTTAGCAACTATGTATTTACATTACAGTACTTAATAAAGTATATTATTTAAACTAAATTATAGTTTATGATTAATCATAAATCAATGGTGTGTTTTAATTAAATATGTCATTATGCTGTAAATTTTCTAAACTTACGGCTTAATGTAGTTCTAATTTATTACAAATGTTACTGGAAAATGAAATCAATAAAATATACATATATATTAAATTTGAAAGACCATTTTTGTAAATATCAAAAACTGCAATAAAAAAGTGTAACACCAAGTTTAGTGTTTTATTATTCATATTCACGATACTAAAAACAATGCTAAAGAAGATTTGTCACAAAAAAGTAGATATACAAGTTTTGGTCGACTAAGAGTCGTTTACTAAATACTTACCAGGTAGACACTAAACACTTACTAAGTCACTTACATTATCGGTGAACATGACAAGGATCAACAATCTTACGCGATAAAAAAATATCATAACAACCGATATTCTTACCTGATAAGTGAAAGAGAATACTCTTACCTGGTTAACACTTACCAGATAAGATATTTTAATAGCAAAGAATATTACTTGATAATAAGGTCGTTCCTATGAGATTTTGAACATAGGCCACAAAAATGTAGGGGCCCGATTTTACATATGTTTGAAGTTTTCATCAACCTATGTAAAGCTTTGTTTAGGTTCAAATTCTTAGGATCAAGTTTAGGTTAATATAGTTATTTAGCCAATTTACGTGCTATCATATGTGTATATCGTTATCTTATTTTGCAGTGTAATTAAAATATCTGGGTGTAGCAAAGCTCCCCAAAAACTAAAACGTCTATGCTTGATAAGTTAAGTAAAGACGAAAGATTTATGCCAGCAAACAATTACCCAGTAAGCATTTGGTAAACGAATATTAAAGTTGTGGTTTACTAATGATGTGTTTTTTGAATTTTGGAATGAGAACACATAAAATAAATGAAATGAAAATAAAATAAAAGAAAAGGAAAGAAAGTAAACAATAGTTTATTTTTTATTTTTTTTATTTGTGTTTTTAAGGGTGGAGGGAAAGGAAGGAAATAAAATGAATTTTTATGTTCCCGAGTGGGAGAAAAAAGAAATAAAATATGTCATTTTAACATATATACCCTTATTTATTTTATACTGGAATGTAATTGATGAGTATATGTGTAATTTTATAAATATTTTTAATATTCATAAACTATTTTCCTTTCATATTTGGGAGGAAAGTTTTGTAAGGAAAATCGACATTATTTTCCTTACGTTTTCTTTCATTTTTTTCACCATCTCCTTAAAAAAACCCGAGAACACAATATCTTTTTTCTTTCCATAAAATAGCTCAGGTTCAAACAAGAACACGCCTATTTTACGAAAATACAAAAACAATTATGAGTCTCCAAATCAATTAACCCACGATAAAAATTAAAATAAATAAAAATAAATCAACAACATATAGTTATTTTACATTTGACTTTGTCCCTTAAATATGACTGAAATCATCGACGACTTCTTATGCTGATATCTCCGTTGTCGATCATGATGTGATAATATGATGATAGTAATGCGACAACGCTTTAATAACTTGACGACTTGTTATGACACGAGTTTCCTGTAATAATGACGTGATGTTATTGTAATGAGTCGAAAACCAGTGTTCATCACGTTCACAATCATCGACTCCGTATAATTATTAAGCGGTTCATCGTTTTTTCTTTTCTTCATTTTTATCTCTAAATGGCCTTCGAAATTCCTAAAAAGGAAAAATATTTATTAGTGTTTTTGATTTGAAAACTCTGTCGTAGGGTGAAATAAATGTAGCGGTAAACACTATTACATTATTTATCACCGTAAAGACTTTGCAGGGAGGAGAGAAAGAAAGCATCGGCAATGAATCAAATACAAACACACCGCCCCCGGAAACCACGAAATCAAAAAGAGGCGGGCTCATCGCGAACCAAAACTTCACTAATGGGGAGTTCCAAGGAGGATTACGCCACCGATGCCGACAACTCCGCCGGCGACCACCGTCGTCTTGATTCCAATTGCAAAGTCTTCTCTGATGGCGAGAAAGTTCTCGCCTACCATGGCCCTCGTATCTACGAAGCCAAGGCATGTTCATTGTTTTCATCTCCATAACTCGTTTGCTTTTGATCTTACACTCTCATGCGTTCACTTCGATTTCGTTTATATGCAGTTGGTTTTTTAATTTGGACCTTAAAGCAAATCGAGGTAACGAGGGACGATATTAGAACAGAACTACTAGTTCTTTTCTGAATAAAACTGAATAGAGAGGTTTCGTTTTCATGGTTACTTTTACCTGACTCAACCAGAAGGTTAGGGTTCCCAATTCATAAATATAGAGTTACAAGTTCTACAACTATAGCTCACTTGCGGATGGTCGTGAATATTTATGATGTTCGCAAGTGTGAATGGTTTGTGAGACTGAAGAGATTGGGTTAATTTACACGAAACGAGTCTTATATTTGGTGAATCATACATGTACATCTCTCAGGCAAAGTGGACTATATGTTACTGAGATGTTTTACAGTCATAGATTATAGGCATGTGCCATTTGTAACATCCCATTGACATGTAAACGAACAAATGGGTTTTATCATTGCTGAATTTGCAACTTTCTGCAGAGCTAATTCAAGTCGTTCACTCGTTCTTATTCTGTTGAGCACTGATTTGGTTATGTTCACAAGTTGTTGGGTAATATGATAATCGGTTATCTGAAGCATCAAAGTTGGACTTCTTTTAGTAAGTAGCAAGTAGCATTGATCTTCTTTACATATGTAAAGTAGAACAAAGGAATACTTGTTTAATCAGACAAAGAACTTGTCAATATTGTATGATTTATACACGTGGATTGGGATTCGAACGATTTAGGGAATCTCCATGACGATTCATATGGGAGGGTGAATATACTTGTTTCTTTAATTAGACACCGTAACCGTCAGTATTATAATATTTATATATGTGGGTTGGGATATGAATAACTGGCCAAGGTGCCAATGTCAAGTGGTTACCCGAAGTGTTACAAGGGGTGGGTGTATACTGTATAGTGCACACAAAGTTGAACTAATGTTACAAGTTATGATCTGATTCAACCAGTCAACAGTTTGGAATCAGAGCGGGCAATACTTGTTTTCCTTATCATTTATTTTCTTCTTTGAAGACATGTCTCTGCCTCACTAGGTTGGATTGTGCATTTGGGGTATAATGAACATGCCATTGTAGTTAATTGCTCTCTCATGATTGTAGTACGAGGGTGCACCTTACCAAGGTTATTGCTTTTGTGGGGAATAAGAGAGACAAAGTGACTGAGGAGAGTGCCTTCAATAGCCATGCTTTGTAATAGCACTAGAAATTCTTAAAAAGAGCAAAGACACTACACAATGAATTATCTATGGAAAGAAAGCGTGGGTGTTGGAAAACTCATTACGTGATGATAAAATTAGATAACTGATTTGTTGGCAATTGAAGACACACATAAAATTTCTTGTTGTATACATGCTGTTAACTCTAATTCGTGATTCTCTACTAAATTGACATTGATTCTTATGCCATACACCACATGTCATGTTTTGTGACATGTTCCACAAAACATACCAAAACTAGCTGTCACCCCACCGGTAGTAGGAGATGTAAGGATTGGTACACAGAATAATTTCCACAGTTTTGGTTTGTATATTCATACAATTCAATTATTCAACAGTTATGGTATCTTCAAAACCACTTATTCTGAATCATTTTCAAAGTTAAACATGTAAATTCTATTCTTTAATTTAGGTCATTTTATCAGGTTACTGAAATATTACAATTAATCTGATCTCTTCATGCTTTTATCTTAAAGGTTCAAAAATCAGAGATGCGGAAGAACGAGTGGAAATATTTCGTTCATTACCTTGTAAGCTTGAGACTTGCCTTCAACTTATTGTTCCACTACACGAATAGTATCTCCTAATATATACTGTTTAACTTCTAGTTTATGTTTGAACACTGATGTAGCATGTTGTAAGTTTCACAAATTCTTATAATGTGTATATGCGTTTACACTGCAATTTTAATTGATGTATGCCTTTTGTTTTGTTCTGCAGGGTTGGAGTAAAACGTAAGTTTGTTTTTCTTTCCTCCATGCCATGCTGTTATAGAAATTTCAAGGTCATGTCATGCAATAAATTAAGAATGGATAGATCGACATATAGTAAGAGAAATTAATTTGAGATTGTTTGATAGTATTCCCCACCCGGCCCCGGTATTTTATTATATATAAAATCCTTGCTATATTTCATACTATATTGTTTTGCATAATTCGTAGATCATCCACCTTTTTGGTCACCCATATTTCATTATTCTTGTATATTTTATTCTATGCCGAGTAACATGGAAAACCCTTTTTCTTAATATTGAAGTATACAAATGCGTTGGGAGAATTTAGGATGTGGATGGAGATGGGGACGACTGAAGCTGCCCTATTCCCATCCATATAAAGGAGGTCAAAACTTCAGTTCATTTACTGATCACTTTGTGTAGTGTTTAATGATTTTGATTCTGTTAGACAAAGTAATCATATTTAAAGAAGAATATAACAAATTGTTGCTAAAATTAATTTTTTTAGAATAAATACCATAGACTGATTATTTTGTATTTGATGCATGCTCAATTTGTAACACCCGAAAAACACATATATTGAGCTATTATCGAGCCTTCATTGAGCTCTTTTTCGAGTAAACACAATGTTACAGAAGAACAATCCAAATTCATACGTTAATTATACTTTACATTTAAAGTCTAGTATTACTTTTACTGAAACTTATAACACAACACTTCATATTCTTATATAACATCTATCAAAGCGCTCCATCAAGTAACACAAATGCACTCTTGGCATCCTTGAAAATCCATCACCATTTACTCCATTTTGGATTGTTGCCGTAGTTGGGATATGGGATAAGCTAAAAATATAAATTAAATAAATTAACAATGCATCTTATTTTGATTGGTAAGACAGGGGGGGGGGGAATAGATTTTTAGGATATATGACCTTTATTAACCTATGTGGCATGCCATGACCTGATGTGTGTTCTTTAAGGGTTCAACGAAAATCCCATTATAGAACATCTGATGTTAATCAAACAATCTCTATCCTTCTCGTTGCTTCCACAACTACTTGAATTCTGGCTCCCATAATAACCAGGAAGACTGCAGTAATGGAGGAACAAATGAAGAATCTCGATTCTCGAAAAAATCAATTAAATTTCTTGCTTCTTGGGCCATCATAATGTCATGCTTATGTGATATACTGATAGCTTCTGGTATTTTAGTTTATCTGGAATATTAATTTCAAAGTAGTTTAAGACATCTGTTGGTACTTCTAGTCTTCCGGTGTTGTTAGTTTCTTTTTTGGTTCTTGATACTCTTAGGCTTTTTTCTTCTGTGTGTGGCACCCAAGAGTTCAATTAACAAATGTGCTACTTGTTCTATCAATCCGAGTTTTTTGCTATGGGCTTACCACAGAGAAAGACACGGAGAGAGTAGAGACTTGTGTGTACACATGATATGTGCTGGCTGACGTGCATAATCTATAGAAGATTATGTTGTCTTTCCATTATATGAGTCTTTACACAAAACTCCAGGACTTAAGAGTTTTTGTAGAGCCCCTCAGGATTGAGAAATGTCCAAGATAAGTTATTAATTGATTTTCAAGCCACTTCATATTTTTACTTCATTACAAATGTTTTATTTCATCTACTCATCTAGAGCAGGTTTTGGGCTCTGCTATGAACCTGATCATATATTATAAGTCTAAGTGCTGGTGGTAGATAGGTCATCATGTGATTCGTACCCAGTACATAGGCGGTACATATGTCGATGAGCCTCTTAGCAGTGGAAATGGTAATACATAAATAGGAAGAAGGAATATATGTGTACTTTAGCAGTCAGCACTTGCATAGGAATGCATTAACATGTGGGTGTGCTTTTTTCTCTTAACTTACAGAAAAAATGTTCAATCCTTTAGTCTAGCTTTTATTTTTATTCATCTTTTAGAATGTGTGCAGAAACTGTTGCTGAAGATTTGTTATCTTGGTAACAGTTGGGATGAATGGGTAGGTGTTGAGCGCCTGATGAAATACACCCAAGAGAACATCCAAAAACAGCAAGACCTTGGTAAAAAACAGGGTGTCGATAGGAATCCAAAGTCGGGACGCTCAAATCAAACAAAGCCAAAAATATCGACTGGTATTCTCTCATCTTGTCAACTTGTCACAACTCACAAGTTATGTTGGTCAAAGATATTTCCATTGTTGCTTTGTATGTATTTTTTTTCCATGAAAAATGATTATATATTAAATAAGTCTATGACCCTTAGCGGGGTATGGAGATATATGGACGTTGGACCTTGAGGTAGTTGCTGTAAAAAAATTAGCTGATCACTAGTACCCACCAGATTATTTGCAGTAAATGAAATCAACAAAATATATGTTTTTTACGGTCAAACTTTATTTTCCCTTAAACCAAGTACGCTACCAACCATAATTTGTAGACAAATCAACTACCAATACCAACCACCGAAGTGTGTATACCAACTTAATTGGTTACTAATAATTTTAGTTGGTACAGCTGGTATTTTAACAATACGAAGATCACAAACCTATAAAGTTGAATACATATTGCAAAAAATAAAGCAAAAACATGTTTGATGTTCAATATTTCAGTCGTCAACTTAAAATTTTAAACAACACCAATCAATTAACATGTGAAGAAATTGTCTGAACTCGAAAGCAAATGGAAATAGGACAATAAGTTATGATAGGGTAATCCACAATTTGGAGTATGGAGATCCATTTATTAATTCAGTGGTAAATTTGTATTAAATGTAACTCGGTATATGGTAATAGTCTAGTTAGTAATTATTTGTACTTAAAATATTATTATATATTACTTATTAAATATATAAATAGTAAAATTACAAATAATTCGAAAGACTTGGTTGGTACAAGTAGTACCGTGGTATTGAAAAATCTCTTCGATTACTCCACCAACAATGTGGAATTGGTACGGTAGTACTGACCAAACATGTTGGCTACCAATTTATTTGGTATGGTTGGTTGGTTTAGTTTTGGGGCAAATTTAACACCCCCTGTCTGAACCATATGAGGATGATACTTTTGCTGCTCTATTGAAGATAGCATCAGAAGGGCTATTACACGCCGCTAATAATCATTTCATACAAACTTCTAGGAACGAGTGGTCAGAAACATTTTGTGGTTCACATTGTTGTCTCCATTCTGAACAGCGTCTTGATGAGTCTAGAATCTCTACAAAATCATGGCCCAAATTTATGGACATTGTAGTCCTGTAGTAGATAAGCTAAGGAAGATTGGGTAGGATAGGTACTTGAACCATTTATGTCCATGTCAATCCTGATCTCATGCTCCTACAAGTAATCTCTTCACTTCAATTGGGAGCTATGGACGCTTAACAGATAAAAGTTTATCTAGGGATATTTCAAACTTTCTGGTTCTCAGTTTTTTTACCTCTGTAAGTGTTTGCAAATGCTTTACTTTCCTAACTATTTAATTCTAACTATAGTCTGTTGCCTATTATTTGAATGCTATTGTAGGGGCAAAAGGTAAGAAGCGAAAGAATGATTCGAGCACCGAGGTATGCTCAACTGTATCATATCTTGTGCTATATTGTAGACTTAGGGTCCACTTTGCAGCATGTAGAAAACCTCCAAAATATGGAACTTATCTTGTAAACATGTGTCTATTTGGGGTTGATTGTGCCAGAAGGAGATTGCATCTATCGAAAAACTTGTGAACATCGAAATTCCATCAACTCTAAAGAAGCAACTTGTGGACGATTGGGAATTTGTCAATGAGCAGGATAAGGTACAAATTAGCTAGCTGCCAATGCCATTACCATCCATAACTATATATTAAACGTTTTGAATACTCTACAAAAGAGAGAGAAAAAAGTGGACTTTGACTGCTACATGCTTTGGTTTTCTTTTATTTTCCCAGTAATTGTTACTTGTTAGACATATGAATTCCAACTGGTAATCTGGATTAGTAGCAGCACCAACTCAAAATTGTTGTCTTATTTATTCAACATTGTTTACTTATAGACAACGCCGTACATTAGTTCATTCACTTTCATTGCTGATTTATTATACCTAGAATTAAAGACTAGTGCATACTTTGACGTCTTTGACTGATGCCATAAAGAGTTGAACTAGAATATTAATTTCTTGTTGCAGCTTGTTAAACTTCCGCGTTCTCCAAATGTTGATGATATATTGGATAGCTACCTTGAATACAGATCAAAGAAGGATGGCATGTAAGTATTACAAGTGCATGATTTAAGATTAATACTTATCTAGAGGCAAGTAGTAATGGGATTTTAGTTTTCTCTTGACTGTGATTGTGGATTCCTGCTGTTATTGGTTCCCTTTAATGCACTACTCAGAACTGTCATTTTCAATTTCTTTTTCCTTTCTGGGATGATTTTTTTTTTTTTTTGGGGGGGGGGGGGGGGGGGGCTTTTTCATTTGTTTAAAGTTCAGCATTATTCTCAGGCTATTATTTGACTCTAGGAATTAAACATGGTTCTCTGATTACGATCCCATGTGCATCTGTTACTCTAAAGTTAAACTTGGGGATTATGTATGTTCAGCTTATACCATTTGTTACTTGGGCTGAGGAAATTTCATGGGTGTATCTGTCATGCTAACACAACTGACAAATCCACCTCTAGGGGAGGTAATGTCGCTAGCCTAATGGGTTGAGAACATAGCGAGAAAGAAAGGAGTTATGAGAATTAGTGCGGAAGAATCCCAACACAATTGATGAATCCAACTATAGGGGTGACTTTGAAACACCAAAGGAGACACCAGCGGACTCAACAAAATGATGGAGGCTGGGTTGCAATAAATAAAGTAAAAGGGTTATGCTTCCAATGTGATTAGAAGTTTCCTCCCGCTCCCGAGCATCACTCTCCTACCTGTGCTTTAAAGATCCTTCTAGTGCATGAGGATACTGTCATAGTAGTAAAAGAGTAGGCAAAAGAAGAGCATTGCAACGTGGGTGTTGTTGAGGCATTCCTTGATTCGGTAGTTGGGCTCACCCTAAATCACTACAAAAAGATAGAAATAGAGGTGGCAGTTTTAATTGACAACATGGCCACCGATAACTTTATTTCACATCGTGGTTGACCACCCTGGGTTCCATAAGACCAGTATCAGAAGCTACAGAATATGGGAAGTAGTTTAATGGACTTGGGCTCCCACGTTTGGAGGGAATACACAATATTGGTGGTGGTTGACTGATTGCTTAAGCTTGTGCACTTCATTCCTTGACAGCACCCTTAGACAATTGTAACTGTAGCAACAACATTAATGCACGAAGTTATGAGGCTACCTGGGATTCCTGAGTCAATTGTAACAGATCAAAATAAGGTTTTCTAGTCATTTCTGGAAAAGCTATTTAGAATGCATTCGGATGGTTCTGAAGGGCATGTGTACCATCCACAAATCGATGGACTTAAGTGGTGAATTGGAGGCTGGAAAGGTATATGGGATGCTTTGCTTCATATACCTGAGCAATGGGCGAGATGGTCGCCATATAATGGAAAAATAGCAACTTCCTAAAGTAAAAAAATGTTCTGTTAGGAGTTTAGAGAAGAAAGAATGCATGTTTGATTTGATAAAATTTCGTCAATATTAAATTATGCTTTAAGGGGGAGGACATACTCCTAGAAAGTACGTTGTTTTGTTTTGATACTTGCTGTTTAAATAATAAAATCATCGACGGGTTCCATCACTGAGGCTCAGAAGGCTCAAGGTCTTGGGTTTTTTTCAAGTCGAGGCTCAGCATATTCACGAGAGGCACTTTGCCTTGGCTGAGGTGCCTTGTGGGCCTAGGTGTGCCTCATAAAGAGTTAGCGGCTGTTTGTTTACCTCTTAACAGTTCCATCAAGAGGCAGCCTCAGAAGCGTTGAGAGGTGGATCTTGTTTGGTAAAAAACTCTTCCTCTTAATGGTTCTAAAACCCTCTGAATGAATTTGTATCTTGGGCTTCCCTTAACCATTCAGCACCCTAATTTCGTTCTGAACAATTGCCAAACATTTATATTTCATTTTGCACTATATCAGAAGAGCCTCTTTATCATTCCAACCACTTAATCATTCTGCACCAAACCATTCAGCAACTGCCAAACAATCCCTTACTAAATACCTATTTAAACCCTAAGATTAAATAATTTTTCTCATCTCATCTCGTAGATTTCTTAAAAGAAGTGTTATTAAATAGATGACATGAGTCAAACCCTAATATTAAATACTAAGTCCTTAGAACTTCAAGCCTCCTCTATAAATACACAAACCTTAAAACTTCTCCTTCACTGCTCACACTTTAAATCCTTCTGCCTCTATCGAAGTACTGTTGGTTGCTGCATTGGGGACTTCTTGTATGTAACTGTGTGTGCGTATATATATTGATAAGATGCGCCTCGCACTCCTGAGGCCTGCACCTCACGCCTAGTCCCCGGGACCCTGTTGCGCCTAAGTGCGTCTTGAGCCTTTAACAACTTTGGGTTCCATCAATGGAATAAACTATTGGTTTTCTAAGATAATTCTAGTAAATTTCAGATTAAGTTGACCTGCAGGGATCTCTTTCTTTGTGCAAGCAGTGTTTAAGCCACTTTGATGCCTGAATACAGGATGACAGATTCGATTGGAGAGATTTTGAAGGGATTACGGTGTTACTTCGACAGGGCCCTGCCAGTTATTCTTTTATACGACAAAGAGCGCCAACAATATCGTGAATCAGTTGCAGATGATGCTTCCCCTTCAAGCATATATGGCGCTGAACATCTACTGCGTCTCTTTGGTATGCTTCTTTTTAACCATTTTTCTTTCATCGTATCTCACTGGGCCTGTGTACTTCCTGTTTTCCTTCTATACATCGTTATTTCAATCCTCGTCTGTTCTAGTGACATTTAGTAGAATAGAAAGCAAATTGCAACCCATTTAGGTAGATCGAAGTTTATCCAAAGATTCATCAAATGTTTAGTAGATCAATTCACTTGGATGGTTCGCTGTTGCACATCTTGGATTGACACCATCTTTTCTGGACCACATATCAATTTGAACAACCCACATAAAAAGAAAAAAAGCATAACCTTTCCAAATGACTTGTACCATATAAGCTACAAATGCACTACTACCTTACAAGTTTTCAAATTAACAACTCAACGTTTAAATTGAACACATATTTGCTACAGTTTGTACCATACAACATACCCTTGTACTATGTGTTTGTAACAGATAAGACTTGATATTTTATAACCACTTGGTTTTACAATAATAGTTGTACAGTACCAATATAATATAAAAGACTGAAACGTAGCACCTCAATGTACTATTTTTTTAATGGGTCAATCACATATTACCATAACCCTTGTACTACAACTGCCACAGCAATTGTTCTTTTACTATAGAAGTCTTGAAGACAATAACACCTAAATTTTTTGTAAGGTAACATATTTTACAAATAACTTGTACAATGCAACAGATACATCTCCTGTTTTACATTGCTTGATAATAATAGAGTAAATTTTAATTTATTGAAGTAATTTGATACCAACAAGATAAAAAACAAATACGGTATGGCTAAAGAACAAATAAAACCAATGCTGAATCAGGCGTGGTTTTACATTGCTGTTTCAGAGCATGTTTAAATCAAGTCAAACTTAGCAAATATAGAATAAAATTTGTTAGTTATGCATTTATCAATGTACAATATTCATTTTCTGATGGGGTTAGATCATGGGAGATTTAAATCCTTTGCTTCTTTTTTTGAACTGAATCATAGGATTCCAATCTTAAATTTTAAGAATTTTGACAACTATGATTTGATGAGGCCTTTTACCCATGCAGTTAAGTTGCCAGAGTTATTGCCATATTTGAACATAGAAGAGGATCTGGTGATGAGGTTGCAGCAAAAGTTTCTGGACTTCCTCAGGTAAAACTCTCTTCTTTTTCTCTCTAATTATTATGATAAATTGCATCTTGTGTGTGATTTTAGTTTTTGCGAAGTTTAGTTGATCATTATGCTGAATCTCTATCGACCTTATATCGCCAATTTCATGTTGATGTAGGTTTTTGCAGAAGAAACAAACCTCGTTCTTCATTTCCTCATATGACGATGATTCAAAAGTTTCTGAAGCTTCTTCAGTAGTAAGGCCCAAAACGAGTCGGGATTAGAGATGTCACTCCACCAGTTCTTCATGTAACATTAATTGTCGATGCTAGCTGGGTCAATTTTGTTGCAACTGTAGCTCATTATTTTCTTTGCTCTTTAATTTATTTATTTATAAATCCAGTCGTCGATCCTTTGTAGAATGAACGATCAACCTTGGTACTTATAGCAAAAGTTGGATAGCACAATTTAACTTGAAAATTGGTGATTTTTATTGGCCCTTATTTCTGTTCTATTCTATTTGTGAATTCAGAAGGGGAAATGTTGATTTGGAAGTTGATTTTTCAACAGTAGCTGATCCCTTGCCTTAGAAGCCAGGCTTCAAACAGTTGCAGGTAACAATACAATCTTTTGGGTATCATATCACATGAGTCCCACCTCACCTCATTCACATGTGAACTACTAGTTTTCCTTAATGAATATAGTTTTTTAGGTGGTCAACAAGATGTTGAGGTCAACCCCATGAGTTGGTTAATTAGTTGGGTTGTGATGACGAAAATGACCCTTACTTTATATCTCCCCTACCCATCTTGTGGAAAACCCAAAACAAGTGGTGAATGGTCAAAGAAAAGGACCCATTCCTTTGCTTTCCAAACCCACAATTGAACACAAATCGAAGAAGTAATAATCGATAATTGAACAAGAAAGCGAACCACATTTCGTTTACATTTTTGAAGTATTTATTGATCAAGTTTGTGGGTTGATTTGAGTAGAGAAAGTATCTATCTATACATGTGTATGTAACATAATGAAATCGTTAACTATTTAAGAAAACAAGAAAAAAAATCGTTAATGTATGAAATCATATATGATTCACGTACAAAATTATATATGATTTGGTGCGACTTTGCCTGCAACTTAAGTCGCGGCAAAAGTCACCTGCTTTCATTTTTTGATGTTAATATAAAATCACATTTGATTTTATACATTAACGACATTTTTCTTGTTTTCTTAAATGGTTAGTATCCTCGTTTGAATCTTCTACAAATATATATATATATATATATATATATATATATATATATATATATATATATATACATATACGTGGGTTCGGGAACAAGTGTAAGAGGAGATATTTTGAAAAAGTGTTTGATGTTAACCGTTAAACGTGACCAACATGCTTTATGATTGCCAAACCCTGTCCCCTCCATCGATCCTTAACGAAATGGTTTATTCTTTAAGAGTAAACTACTGTTTTCGTCCTTGTGGTTTAGAAAATTACGTTTATAGTCCCTCTGTGGTTTCATTTTATTTTTGTTTTTTGTCGCTACACGAATTTAGCCCATGTAGAAACGGTCACATAACAACAAATAAATTTTCATTTTCTCTTACTTAACCACCTTTGTGGTCGTTGAGTACTGGGGATGTGGTGGAATACCTCATTTGTTCAGTGTTCGATTCCAGACATACACAACAATTGTGGTCATTGAGTTTATCAGAACTGATTTCTTACGGTTTTATTAGGATTAGTCCAAATATAGCATGGATACCGTTCCAAAAAAAAAAACAACTTCTTCAAATTGTTTTGTGGTTAAAAAACAAAAATGTAACAAGGGATTTGAATCTTTGATCATTATGAATTGCGCCTAGCCGCTTATTACGAGAATCGATCAGATACATCTTGTTGTATCACATTAATGTTAATCTTCAATTATAATTGATTCAAGATGGAGATATATTCTTATCTTTTTCACTGTAACATTGATTCTCATTGTAACCCAACCTTTAACCATTAACATATATTTTGTTATGATTATGACAGATACAAGGTGTATTTTCTTCTAGACAAATAAGATTGCATGACATTATATTTCTTAGTTAAATTATTATTTGTTTAAAGTTTGTTTCCCCTTTCCGAACAAATTTGTTTCATTTATTTTAGAGTTCAATTTTAAATTCATAGTTAGCTGATAAACAATTTGGTTTGTATAGTTTACTATTCATTTTATGTTTTGATATTAAAGTTAATTAAAGTCCCTCTAACGGGTGAGTACGAGTATTCAATCATATCGATCCATCATCATATGACCTGCAATCTTTAGATCTATATACCATTATTTTTGTCCTTATAATTCAGAAATTACAAATCGAATTTGCTTTGGAATTGATCATAGGCTCTATCGGCCCTTAGAGGAGTAACCCATATGTTAAACATGACTAAATCAATCCCCATTTTCCTTCTGTCTGTAGATGAATCCTATTCATGACCCCTCCTACATGGGGTATGTAAGTGATGTAGCAACCCATTTGTCTCCATCCTCTGCATCACTATCTCAAACACTGTTTCACCCTCCCCACTTCACTAACATCGAACCACCATTCAAATTCTGTATAACACATGGACATAAAGTCATTGGGAGGAAACCATTTGAATTTGTGTGATATGTTAAGACGATTGAAATTGGAGCGAACCATGGCATCTTCTTTGGCTATGGCAAGAGAACCCAACCATGGTCGTGTTCATTTGGGTTCTCTACTGTCATTTTCTTGGGGGAGGGGAAGCTGATGGTGGTTTGAATGGAGGATGTGATTGAAGTGCATTCAATTTTCTACGTGCCAAAAGATAGGTGCTAAAAGAATTAATAAAAAGAAAGAGGTTTAATTTAAGCTTTTTTTTTTTCACCTTAAATATAATGCATACTTGTACATATGCATTCTAAATTGTTATCCTAATAAAAAGAAACACAAAATGATCAGATCGCTTTCACACAGTGAGTATCTCATAGAGCCAATTAACGATATTTAAATGTCATGACCAAATCCAAAGCAAACTTGAAGCCACATAAAAGATTTTGTAAATTTTAAACTATATATCAATGATATCTAAAGTCTTCCAAAACGAGACTAATATAAAATGTAATTAACTCTACGTTCTGTATCAGATATATTTCCTCTAAACGAACAACCTTATGACCAAAATTGGAGGTGGTGTGTTGGTGTTCAAAAAAGACAAATAAAATATAATAAATAAAAAAATAGAAAACGACGGAAATCTTTAATTAACGAATCCTTTAACAAGAGTTAACCAAAGAGACCAAAATGTAACAAAGTAGCAACCACCCATACCACAAATGTGAAAAATGAATCTTGGGGACGAAACTTGCTGATTTATTACAACTATAGGGCTCAAAAGTATAAATTAATCTTAAATTAATATTAATATAAAAGTTTGTTTTTTTAGTAATATTGAACTATTAAAAGTAGGAAAACTGACGAAACTAGTGTAACTTGCTTCGCTTTGGAAATTTAATTTTTGTTTTCTATTTTAAAATTATTTTATTATTTATATAGTAATCATATGTTAGAATTGGGTTTCGATAAGAAGAAAAGTTAAGGTAGGAATCGTAAAAGAAAATCTCAATTATTGAAAGCATATTAGGATGAGATGTATTGAGATACACCGAACCAATCATCATATCAAACATCATTCATGGGTAAATTTGAGATTTAAAGGTAATCGAAATATCAATTACTAATAATACCGCTAAGAGATAAAATATCAAAATTGTAACTATTAGGGATGGATCCAGAAACTTTTTCAAAAGGTGACACTATTTGATTCTAAGAAACAGATGTAGGGAAAAAAAATTCAAACTGTAACAGAATGACATTAACATGATTCGAACTCGGGTCAGGGGTGAAATAATAGTCTTGCAAACCAACTCTACTAACAAAAACGTGTTAACATTATAATTTCAAAATATATACGGTGACACAACAAATTAATATAGTAACCTAAATTTTTTTACCCTAAATTAATACAGTTATTGAAGAATATATATTTTTTCCACAATGTAATATTTTTTTTACCTGTAGGTAAAGGTAAAACAAATATTACACCTTAAATAAAACAAACTAACATTATTTAATATTTACGGACGCACAGTAAATAACCTAAGATGAGATTAAAAACATGAAAACAAGAATTTGATTGGTTGTAGTTTCATATAAACCTCGTCATTTAACTCTTTTCTGTCTCTCCTTCCTTCTGTACAATTTTATTTCTTTCTTTTTTTAATTCAAAAAAAAAAGAAAAAGAAAAGCAGAACGGAGATCAATATTTATAAAATTAACAGATGGAGAAATCAACAAAGATTCTTCCTTTCTCTTTCCCTTTCCTTCCCAACTACTCCTTTTCAAAACTACCCTAATCGATCTTCTTTATCCCGGGTCGGGTCACTCTACCAAACCCATCGCCATTGCTGGCCTGTTGCATACACATTCCCCCTCCTCCTTGCTCCAGACCTCTCATATACTTCCGCACCTCTTTCCTTATCATACCTTGCATCACTGACAAAAATTCCGCACTAAATGGCTCAAACGCCTTCTCCGCCGGCGATACCTCAAGCTGCTGCATCGCCGACGATATGGCTGCCGGAATCGTTGTCATCAACTCTCCGTCGTTGTTTAGGTTTAGGTCTTGAATGCGATTCGCCGGAACCTGCTGCAACGGCATCGCTGGTATTGGAACAACGGGAGATGGCGGAGACGGCGGCATTAACTGCATCGGAGCCGCCGTTGGCTCCTCGATGGAATCAACTCCGGGAAGTGAAAGACTCAACGACGTCAGAGGATCGTTTACCGGCGGTTGCGGTGGAGGACGCGGAGGCGACGTCATTCCAACGTCGATCTGCGGACCGGCGGTAACACACGCCCTAGCAACCGGCCGATACACGTGCGATGACGACAACGCAGGCACGCTTGAATCGCTGATATCGGATCCCGTTGGACTACCCGGATTCAAACAAAGACCCGAAACCGGAACGGCCGAACCGGCACTAACCGACCGTTTTAACAACGGTTGTTGGATCGCAAACTCATTAAACTCCTCATTCGTCATCGACGAACATTTCCGTTTCAAAGTCGAGTTCCAGTGATTCTTAATGGCGTTATCGGTCCGACCCGACAAAAGCCGGGCTATCGTAGCCCATTTGTTACCGAACCGGGCATGTGCCCGGAGGATCGTCTCATCCTCCTCCGGCGTAAACGCACGGTGTTCCACCTGCGGCGACAGCTGGTTGCACCACCGTAACCGACAAGATTTTCCGGATCTACCGGGTATGGATTTGCTGATTAGCGACCAATTTCTTGGGCCATGCTTTTCAACGAGTTGCTGAAGCATATCATCTTCATCGGGGCTCCACGGACCTTTGATCCGATCCAAATCTTTCTTCGAATTATTAGCCATAATCAACCAAAAAGATGTAAAATTTCTCGATTTTTAGTAAAACCCCATGAAAAAAAATCTGATTTTTGAATTTGTGAAGAATTGTAGAGAGAGAAAGTAGAGGAGCGATGGTGGTTTTATAGGGGAGTGAGGAGTATTTAAGGGGTAGGATAGACCGGTCGAACCGGTGAAGAAGGCAAGCAGTGAGGGTGATTTTATGGGGGGTGACCGACTGTGAGATTAGTAAGCGGTTGCATTTGGTATAATTTGGAATACAGCTGGCTAACGGACACGCGTCACATCATGGCCTTGCACTGATACTTACTCTCATCTTCGTAATCTTTTCATTCACCTCTCTTTCTGATCACTCTCCTAAGCGGTGCGTGTGCTGCACGTATTTTGTCCTTTTCTGATCGAATGGATACAAGATATCTGTGTTTTCTTTTTCAACAAATTATGTATTAAATACGGGAAAATTGCACCACCAAAAGGAACTAATTTACCTAATTTTTATTTTGGGGAATTAATTTTTAAAATTGTTATTTTGGAGAATTAATATGCACATGATTTTTATTTTGAAGAACTAACTTGCACCTAATTCCTATTTTGGGGAACCAACTTTCAAAATCGTCATTTTRGGGAACCAACTTGCACCTKATTYCTATTTTGGGGAACCAACTTGCAAAATAATTATAGAAAAATAATTAAAATTTGTTTTTTTTCAAAAATTAATGCAATAAAATCTATTTTTCATTTCAAATCTCGTTTTTTTTAATTCAGATATCAAATTGAACATTTTAAAAAAAAATCCAAATTATCACGATAAAAATTGTTTTTTACTAATGCAAAAAAATCAATTTAATAGAAAAAAATTAATTGATACAATAAAAAATAATTATTAAATATCACATTCAAGATTTTTATATCTAACCAATTGCATCAATTAATTTTTTTTTATTAAATTCATTTTTTTTGCATTAGTAAACTGTAAAAAAACAATTTGTATTGTGGTAATTTGGATTTTTTTTAAAATGTTCAATTTGATATCTGAATTAAAAAAAAACGAGATTTGAAATGAAAAATAGATTTTATTGCATTAATTTTTGGAAAAAAAATGAATTTAAGTTATTTTTTTATAATTATTTTGCAAGTTGTTCCCCAAAATAGGAATCATGTGCAAGTTGATTCCGCAAAATGACGATTTTGAAAGTTGGTTCCTCAAAATAAGAATCATGTGCAAGTTGGTTCCCCAAAATGACGATTTTGAAAGTTATTTCCCCAAAATGGGAATTAGGTGAAAGTTGGGTCCATTTTGGTGCAATTTTCCCATTAAATATTTGTATTCGTATTATTAATATTACATATAGTTTTTTTTATTAAACTGGATATCCAACCTGTTATGCGAGCCGATTAATAATAGGACGACCATCTGCTTTGCAAATAGTCCGGAGGCCAGAGTCACCATATTTGAATCTCCGTGACTATAAGAGAATTTTTATTCTTTTTTGAATTTAAACCTGATTTTTTTTAATTAAGAAAAATCATGATTTTGGGAATTTTGGATTTTTGGATCAACTTTTTTCCTAACAAAATTTTCAAAACTTTATTGAAAATAATGTAAGAGAAAAAAATACATGTTATTTTAATTATTTTTTTAAATAAAAAATATTTGAAATTAAATGTTTTCAAAAAGAAAATAATATTTTATTAAATATATTAAATTTGAATGGTATAATTAATATTGTAATCTTCAAAATAGATAAAGGTGATGAAGTTGAATGCGTTTTTAATTCTTACAAATTTTTTTTTTTTTTTTTTTGATTTTTTGTTTGAAAAATCTATTGGAGATACTCTCATCGACAATATCATTTTTAATAGAGTTGAATGCATTCTTTTGTTTTTATGAATTTTTTTTAAATATTTATTTCGAAAATTTGTTGGAGATGCGTTGAATGCATTCTTTTGTTTTACGAAATTTTATTTTATTTTAAACTTTATTTTAAAAATCTGTTGGAGATGCTTTTACCGACCACGTCACTTGGTCAACGTTTCAAGGTTTCATTCTAATATGAGTAAACCCTTCACGGATCTTCATTAGCTCAAGTATACCGACCTCGTGAATTTTCAATAACTCGTCATCATTCTATTTTGTTCAAAGAGCATCGTTTCAAGGTTATATGATTAAATGGGATAGCACGATTTACCATTGATCGAGACTTTTAGCATTTCAAATTACAACTTTTTTTAAGTATATAATATTTATATACGGCAAATAGAATAAATAAACTCATACACCCTCCTCGCCTTCGGTGACGTTTAAACCTCTGACCTCCTAGGAGACTAAAGACTCATATACCGCTAGGCCAAAGACCCTCTGTTTCGAATTACAACTGTCCATCAACAATTTCTCAATCTCCTACACATGATTGATCCATAAGCAATCTGTAGGGTGTTACTTAAATTTGCGACAGTAAACATTTGTTACATATAAGAAGATGGTTCAGTGATTGTGGTATCTCCTGATCATGTACGATTTTCTGTTTAATTGTTGGGTGATAGTTTTCTATTTAAAAAAAGTATAAACTACAAAAGGAATCTAACTACAATTTTTTAATGGCGTGCCCACTTACATAAACATTACGAGTAAACAAGAGAAATAGTGATCCTCGAAGCCCATCCGGATTGGTTACCTCAGTACAAATATCTCCAAGAGTAAAATGATTATATCTATAGTTATGACAAAAGTTTGCCCTATGTGTACATGTTGCTATCTACAACTTAATTAACTAATAATCATATAAAATGATTGTCTATTAATATTGATATTGTTAGTCAATACCATATGTCATGTATTCATCTGTTGTCACAATCGACATCCCATCAGTCGATGGATGTAGCTTTCACATCCTTCTTTTCACCCATTGTCGCATTATTATTATTATTCGTTTGGCTACAACTATATGTAACTAAATCATGTTAAATGAGATAATTGATTGATTTGCATTATTATGAAAGGGAAAGGAGAAATCCCGAGGATCAACCGCTAGTGGCCGAGAGAATTCTTGAACAATCCTTTAAAAACCGAATCTAACTAATTGATTGGTCATGAAATCGACAATTCACATGTCTAATAATAACAAGAAGGAGCAATCAAATAGAATTCGTCAATTTATCTGAATGGTGAGTTCATGGGTCGATTAAGTATTTGTACTTGTATGAAGGGTCAATGCACGAAAACGAGAAGAGTACATAAATGTTGGACTCCCGAGACCCCCTGATAATATTATGTGGTGCTCGAAAATGGTGTAAGTAGTTTAATCAAAGGATTATAACACGACTCTGTGAATTTACTAAAAACAAAAATGTTTTGTTTTATAGTGAGGAGGACTGATTGGTTAGTTACAAATAAATTATTTGATTGTTTTTTAGGATAATCCAATAAATTGCTCTTTTCTTGTGTTTGTTTCGTTCTAAAGTGTCATTTCATGTGGGTCAAGGGTATTTCTAGACATGACGTTAATTTAATTCACGTAAAAACTGATGCATGTAAAAAAAAAATGCTGATAGATCATAAAATAATCAGATACATACAAATGCACACATATACATATATTGTTTAACATAGAGTCATCCAAAAAAATGGTCAATTAATGGATTTTGTTATTTTGCTTGAAAACTATAGTCTCAAATACATTATTCATTTACATCTTTTATATTATATTGATTTTCATACATCATGTATGTAAATATATATATATTGATTTTTTTTTATATTATTCACTAGCTGATAGATTTTCATGTTATCGATTTCATACAATTATGCATGTAAATTGTTGTGGTGACTCGTTTCGATTTTACTAATGACAAATCATCAGCTGTTACCAATAGATATGCCCCTCGTAGAATAAAAAAACTTAACTTGAGGATTTAGGAGTTGTTTGTTTATCTCTTAATATTTCCATTAAAAGGCAATCTCTGAATCGCTAAGAGGTGAATCTTGTTTGACAAAGAAAAAGTATGTCTCTTAATGGTTCTAAAACCCTCTGAACGAGTTTGTATCTTGGATCTCCCTTAACCATTAAGAGCCCTAATTTTATTGTACACAATTACCAAACAATTATATTTCATTTTGCACTATATCATGAGAGCCTCTTAATCATTATGACCACTTAATCATTCTGTACCTAAGCATTCAGCAATTGGCAAAGAACCCCTTAGTCTCTTGTGAACCTACATTTGCCTTAGCTTTCATTCAACATTAACAAAAGTAACTACAGATTTGTATGATGTATCATCGTAGAAAATGCATATTCATCGCTAAATCTTAGTAAGTGATACGATGTTTGTTATTTCTTTATTTGATTTTTTTTGTTTTCCTGTTAACAAAATATACGAGATGTTGATAAGATCATTTTTGACTTTATATAATGACAGAATAGAACAAATGGTCTCTCATTGAAGTTATATACGTAGTCTAATGCCCAACAAAATGTGTTGCCGCATATCATAAATATGTGGGTGGGTGGGTGCGTATAGACACGTGTGTGCACGTATCTTTTATAAAATTGGTGACGTGTCGTTGAGTAAAAGTCACAAACAAGTGGTGAAACTTGGCAATATAACGGTAATTAAAAATGCATTAATAAATAGATGGTGAAGAAAATATAATTTTTTTAATTAAATTCCATTAAAATGACCAATATTTTCATTTTGCAAGATTCCAATTTATACTTAGAGCTTTTATTTCCTTATTTGCATTAAAAATAAGTGGTTCAAACCATAAGGGTGGTGTCTGATTGGTTTGAGTTTGACTCTTTAAGGTCAAAAGTATCAGGAGGCCCCAGGTTCAAATCCAAAGAGAAATAAAAATCCTCTTGTGGCCACGGAGGTTCAAATGCGGTGACTCCGAACTATCTGCAAAGCAGGTGGTCGTTCTGGTATTAATTGGCTCACATAGCGGATTGGATATTCATGTTAATAAAAAAATAAAAATAAGTGGTTCAATTGTTTTTAGTTTATCTATGATTAAGGATAATTTAGAAATGTTATTAATATCCACAA